GCCCCAGGCAGGGGGCTTACAGAGGCAGCTGGAAGCTGAACGGGAACTCGTGACACCCAGCAGGCAGGGTCGTGGTCTCTCCGGTGTCTGTAGGTACAAGCAAGAGGGTGGCTCAGCGGCTACGCGGGATCCCCGATGTCCTGCCGCCGGTCGGGGTGGGCGTGGGGTCCCAGCGGGTACCTGGGGTGAGCAGCGTGGCGCGGTGGCTCACGACCTCCACGCGCTCGCTGTAGCTCTGCGTGTACGCGGTGCTGGAGCCCGCGCTGCGGGACTCGGTCCAGTGCACGTGTGCGCGGCCTCGCGCGCGCAGTTTCAGGGTGCCCACGCGCGCCGCGCCCGCCAGCTCCAGCAGCACCCGGCCCGCCACGACCTGGCCGCCGCTGAACACCGGCTCAGCGCCCGCGGTCGCGCCGTCCAGCTGCACCGCGAACGCCTTCACCTTGTCAAACAGCATCACGCCCCGGGGCGCGAACCCACCACGCGCGGACCCTGGCCTCGAACCCGCGACGCGGAACGCGAGCTAAAGACGCTGCAGTCTCCAGACGCAAACTCTCACCGCGCACGCAAGCGCAGTCGCCGAGCGGGCCAGAAACCCCGCGCCGTCCGCCGGCGGCGCCGCTTTTATACGGCAGGACGGAGGTGGAGCCTGAGATGTAAGCCTCTCCCCCCGAAAAGGGATCCACCAATAGCGTGGCGAGAGGGGCGTGGCTTCGCCCAGGCGTGGAGCAAAATAACAAACGCCCCTGTTCAGCGCCGTCGCGCTCTAAGCTCGCGGACCGGCGGTGGCGGGGCGGGGACAATGAAGCACGAAGCCTCCGAAGCCAGTCTCTAGAGGGTCCCGAGAATAAGGAAGGGAAACCGAGGCTCAGAGGCGGAGACCCAGGCCCGAGATCAACTAGCAAAGCAGTCTCCCTCTCGGCTTAATCATCACCTGGCTGCCACTTGCAGACGTGACTGGAGACACGTCTAGTCAGAGCTGGGAAGCGGGCCCGACCCCAGTTCGAGCTGGGCAGGGGGCCGGTCTCAGTCCTGCAGCGCAAAGCGGGAGGGGGAAGGAAGAGGAGGGGCCTCCCTCCTCAGGAGCCCCGCTCAGCCACGTGACCACATGTCAAGGGTCAGCCTCTTGGTGCCTCAGTTTCCACTTCTGTAGAGCCGGGAGGCCTTGGAGGGTCGCGCAGCCCCAGCTCGATTCCTCCGAGCGCCTCGCGCCCAGCTCACCAACAGGCTCCCGAGACTCCCAGCCGCGCCTCGGTGCTTCTGCCTAAGCTTCCCTTCCCGACTTCCGGCTTCTGGCAAACTACTCGCCCCGAGTCCCTAGGCCTGATCCAAGCGTCCCCAGCCCCCACACCCCAAAGAGCCAAGTACGGGGCACACTCAGGCACCCTCGGGTGCAGGACTGCAGGGTGCTCCCGGGCCGGCGTGACCCTTCTAGGCCTCAGTTTCCCCAGAGAAGAGCCTCACGGGGCATTCGCCCGCGGGAATCGTTTCCGTGCAGCCTGCGGCGCGCTGGCGCCCTCTGGTGGCAGCAGGACCCGCCGCTGTTCGGACCCACCTCTTACTCAGCCTCCCCCTTTTTGTCGCTGGGGCGACAGAGTCCTCAGCCCACCAGTAGGGGGCGGCCATAAACACACAAGGCCCCGCCCCTCGCTGTCGGTCCTGCGGGTCGGAGCCGGTAAGGGGCAGGAGGCGCAGGATCAGCCTGCCCCGGGGGCTGCCTGGAGGAAGCGACGCCGGCTGAGTGGAGGAGCGGCCCCTTCACAGGGTGAAGCTTGGAGGCCACGAGCTCAGGGCGAGGCAGGAGATGAGGTTACTCTGAGGCAACCGGAGGCTCCTACTCAGCCCGTTTCACAGATGAGCCCCCAGAGGCTCAGAGGCAGGGGGACCCTCGCTTGAGGTCACAGTAGTTCCGCCAGCGTCACCCTCCAGTGTTTTAAGGAAGCCTCAACGAATGTCTGGGGCCAGGTGGGCACTGAGGGGTAAAAGTGGCTCCGACATGAGCCCCTGGGGAAGGGAAGTGCCTCGTGGGCCCCTTCCTGCCCCGCCCCACCGCGCTACCCGTCTCGGTTTCCACGGTAGTTGAGCGGGGTGGGGGTGGGGAGTGCGGTGGCCGGGGACCCTGGCGCCTGGGAGCTATTGGCAAAGCATCTGTTTTACGCAGTACTGTTGGGGGCTGTCGCACTTGTACCTGGCCTCGCCAATTTCGCAGACTGGTATAAGTGAGATCTGGCTTTGCCAGGAGCAGCCCAGAGAGGCCAACGTTTCTCCTGCAGTCACACCGCATGACGCTGGGGGCAAACTCCCATCTTCTGTAGCCCTGGCCCGCTCCTTACAGGTGTGTGGCCGTGGGGGTGGACTGAGATTCAGAACGCAGTAAGGACACGCCAGAGACCCAAGACTCTCAGTTGATGTGACCCCACCCCGACTCCCTTCACCCCAGAGGCATCTACACCCCGGTACCCACAAACACCACCAGATACCCCCACCCTCGGGAACAGCCCACAGCAGCAGACACCGCAGGGTAAACTGAGGCAGGGGAGCACGTGAGAGGGGGACTTCTTTTGAGAATCGAGGACCCTAAGTGCAGGGGTTCCCCAGACCCTAGTCAGGGTTGAGGTCCCCTTGCTTTGAGAGGGAAGTCTCCTCACCGCATAACCTGTAAGTCAAGGGCACCCAGGCCTGGAATAAGGGACACCCAGAACCTGGCAGGAGGTCCCAAGAGACGAGGTTCTGTCTGGTCCAAGGAGCATGGGTGTCCCAGAGGGAAGGTTCGGCTCCTGGGGAGGGGTCCCTACTCTTTGAGAAGTATCACCCCGTCCAGATCGCCTAAGTCAGAAGGCTCTGGACCCTGGAGAGGGGCGTCAGTCCTGGGGACAGGTCCCTGCCGGGGGGTCCTGCCGGCGTGGGGTGCAGACGGTGTCTCACCTCTGAGTAGCAGCTGCCGCCGCCGCAGATACGTCTCGGCGGCCGCGTAGTCGCTGGACACGGCGTTGACGCCCACGCTGCGCCCTTCCAGCCAGTGCGTGGCCGCCCCGCCTCGCGCCGCCACCACGAGCGCCCGCACACGCAGCGGCGCGGCCACCTCCAGCAGCACCCGGCCGCACAGCCGCTCCCCGCCGCGGTACGCACAGCCCGGGCCTCGCGCCAGCTCCAGGGCGAAGCTGCGCACGCCGCCCAGGCGCATGGTGCGGGCCGGGGCGTGCGGCCGGACGGTGCCCGGGCGCCCAGCGGGGACACGCGGCGGGTCTCCGGGGTCCGCGGGCGTCCCGGGCGCCTTCTTTTGCGTCTGTTAACTTCTACCGGCGCCGCGGGCCGTGGGAGGGCTCGTCGTCGGCGAACTTCCTGGTCCCCCGCCTCCGCCCCAGTGACGCGCCCAGGCAGCTGCCGAGGACGTGCCGCCCAGTGTCTGCCTGTGGACTTTGCCACCCCCCAGAGTGTGGCGGGCCGTGTTTTTGCAGGGTCGGCAACGATGAGTCAGAACCGCCGCCCCGCCTGCTCCCCCCACACGCCCTCTCCCTGTCACCTCTTGGCTGTCCCCCAAACACTCCAAGCTCAAATCTTGCCCCGTGGCCTTTGCACCGGCTGGTTCAACGCCAGATCCCCTCTCCCACCCACCCCTCCCACACCCAGATGTCATCTCCGCAGTCCCCAGCACCTCTGACCTGTTTACACCTCTGGCCGCGGGTTTGGCTGGTGTTTACCTCTCCTCTTCCACCAGACCCGGTGCTCCCCAAGGGTGGGCACCCGCCCTGCTCTCCCCAGAGGCCCAGGAGCTAAGACTGGGCACAAGAGGGGACAACCGCTTCCATCCAGGACTGTTTCCCAAACCAGCTAACAGGGCTGCTATGAAGCCTAGGACCCGCGGTGGATGCTTTGCAGCCCCTCTGGTTCCCATGAGGCCTTCAGGAGACAAAGTGGAGGCCCTAAGCAAGGCCTCAGCCTTTAGCAAGTTCTGGTTAAATCTACTGCTACCTCCATCTTACAGAAGACCCCAGAGGGACAGCCATTGCTCAGAGGCACCCCTACGGCAACTGGAACCCAGGTCTCAATAGTGTCCTCTGGCCTGGTGTGGTGGCAGACGCCTAGAATCCCAGCAGTTTGGGAGGCTGAGACAGGAGGATTGTGAGTTCAAAGCCAGCCTCAAGCAGTAGTGAGGCCCTAAGCAACTGGGTGAGACCCCGTCTCTAAATAAAATACAAAATAGGGCTGGGGTGTGGCTCAGTGGTCAAGTGCCCCTGAGTTCAATCCCCAGTACCAAAAAGAAAAAAAATATAGTGTCCCTGGCACCTCCCCAGACCCATCTTGTTCTTGGGTCTGAGCTGTCCTCTTCGAACCTATCAGGGCTGGCCTATCTCCTCGGGCCAGGCACTGATGGCCTTATCAGAAGCTGCCAGGGGCCTTGGTTCCCCCACCCGCCCCACCCCCTGGGCTAGCATCTGCCACGTCCGTGGCCTCGCCAGAGACAGCACCCAAAACCCAAAGCCTGGAGGGGCCTTTGGTTCTGATTGCGTCTGGAACCCTGCCCATCAGTCCACCCACACGCCTGCCCCCACTCAGACCTCCCTCCTGTGGCTTCCCCAGAGTACCCGCCACCCCCGGTGCTTGCCCCCTGTCCCACAGGCTCCCAGCTGCAATCCTGGCCCCATGGCTGCCTGCAGTGTGGCCTCTCTGAGCCTCAGCTTCCCCTCCCGTCCTGGTCAAGTTCTGGTGACGTCACTGTGGTCATTTACATGGTATTCAATGTATATAGCGGGTGCTCAATGTGTGTCCTATGAAAACTGAATACCCACTTCACCCATGTCACCTGCCTCCCTGGATGGTGACCCGTGGTTCTATCCATCCAAGGTGGGGTAGGCATGGATGTCACCAAGGAGCTGTCCCCAGTGGAGCTCAGAAGACACTAGGACAGGACAGTCAGGGAATGGCTGTCCTCACCCCTGCCTGCCTGGGGGCCTCCAGCCTGAGCACTGCTCCCGTGGTGTGCGACCAGGGGCCCCAGCCACCACGACAGGCCGCGATGTGGTGGGTCCTGCTTTATTCAGAGTCGGCAAGGACCCTCCCCGGCTGCTCCACACCCTCCGGGGGCGCGGGCGAGTCGAGGGGCCAGTGACCAGGGGACGCTCCGGGCTCCCCTGTCTGCTGGGCGCCCGCCCCGCCCTCCTCCGGCAGTGGGGACGCCCGGTCCTCGAGCCCAACTCAGCTTCGGCTTCTTGAACCGCAAGAGGCGACACTGTACAGGGCTTCCTGGACGGCGTGGGGACGGCGGCCACACGATGGCCAAGATTTAGGGGTCCGGTGGCGGGCAGAGCCGTCACCCGCAGTCTGAGGGGGCCACGGGCGGCCACCGGCGCGGCGGGCTCTGGGCTGCCTGGTCCGGGGGGCCGGGGCCGGGCCGGGGCGGCGGCGGCGGGGGCGGCGGGCGTATGGCTTGGGCGACGAGGCCGGGCAGGGCCTGCAGGGAGGTGCCCAGCGCGTCCAGGCGGCTCTCCAGGGCGGCCAGGCGGACCTCGAGTTCCTCCTGCTGGGCGTGCAGCTCGGACACCAGGTCATACATGACGCTCTGGGTCTGCCGGAGAGAGGAGAGCTGAGCGGGCGGAGGAGGGACGGGCACAGGGCAGCGGGGACCCAGCATGGGCGACCTGGGGCTGCAGCTGAGGGGGCGGTGGGGGATGGGCACGAATGCCAGGCTCAGGGCCAGGGGACCTGGAGGGCCCAGGAAGGGTGGCCGCAGCCGGAGGTGCCCTGGGGGTGACCTGGACATATGTAGCCACAGGGGACTTCAGCGGGGGCTCCCAGACCTGGAGGAGGCGCTGAGCTGGGGACAGGGGAGGCTCAGGGCCAGGGTCTGAGGGTTCCTGCTCCACACTGAGCTGGGGAGGGGGTGGGGCCTGATGAGATGGGGGTCTAGTCTAAGGATCACAGATCAGGGACGTGTCACTGGAACAATCACTGTTTCAGCAGCTGGTGGGGCGTCCCCGTCACCCCTGAAGCTTCCCCACAACCCAGAAAGGCGCTCCTGTTCACATGGGCAGGAGACGACCCCAGGGACAGTCCCTGGCGCAGATGCCGCTCTGGCCGACAGGTGGCGCCAGAACCTCGCTCTGTGACTCTGACTGACGGGGCCAGGTCACAGTAGAGATCTGAGGACTCCCCAGGCAGCACACAGAGGAGGTCGGGACCTGATCCCTAGGAAGCTTGTCCCCCATGGGCCCCCCTCCACTGCCACCACCCCTGGGTGAGAGGGTGACATCTGCTGGCGCCTGAAGCGGCATCCAGCCATGGACGGATCTTTTGGGCTCTCTGAGGACAGTAAACCTCAGAGTCAACCCCCTTAAATTTAGAATTTACATTTTATTTTTCCATTAGCCAGAAATCTTGGAGACCATTCAAATTTAATATCGAGCCAGCGCCTGTGGCCCCAGCTCCCCCTGAAGCAGGAGGATCACCTGAGCTCAGGTGTTCAACACCTGCCTGGTCAACAGGTGAGGGCCCCGTTCCAAGACCAAACCAAACCAAAACGTACTGACCAAAAATTGAAGAATATTTTAACTTTTATTATTATTTTTAAAATTAGAAACTCATATAATCCAATCCGGTGAAAGACTTATTTCAAAGAAGGTTTTGTTAAATGTATTTTTGTGAGGAGCGTAGGATGAAAGGGTGGGTCAATCTTTTAAAATCCACATTTCAGGGGCTGGGATTGTGGCTCAGCGGTAGAGCGCTCGCCTAGCACGGGCGGGACCCGGGTGTGATCCTCAGCACCACATAAAAATAAAGGCATTGTGTTGTGTCCATCTACAGCTAAAAAATAAATATTTTTTAAAAATCCAAATTTCAAGGCTGGGGTGAGGCTCACGGGCAGAGCCCCCGCTCACCTGGCGCAAGGCCATGGGTTCCAATTAAAGATAATTTTTAAAGTAATCATATTAGTATTTGAGACAGGTTTCCTGCTTTGTTGCCCAGGCTGGCCTCAAACTCCTGAGCTCAAGTGATCCTCCTGCCTCAGCCTCCGAGGGGCGGGGACTCCAGTCACCCCCCCCCCCCCCGCCAGACACATCAGTCTTTTAAAATAAATCCAGATGCCAGTGTCAACAGGTAAAGATGCCACACGCAGAGGTAGATGCCTAGTGTCTCTCTTACATCAGGGCTACAGAGGACCCTGGTCCCCGGCCAGCACCTGTCCCTCCAGTCCTCCTCTGCCCGCATCCTGCCCCGCCCGCTCACCTTGGCCAGCTCGGCCAGCGTGTTGGCCTGGTCATTCAGCTTCCCTTGTTCAATCTTCACACTGCGGAGCCTGGGGAGACACAGGAGGGTGAGTGGGGACAGGTGGCAGCTGCCGTGGGAATGGGATCCTTCATGCGCCCACCCGCAGTGGCCTTTGGGACATGCATCGGGTCTGCAGGGCGGAGGGCAGGTCAGCTCCCATGCTGTGGCCACTGGCTGAGGTGTCTGCAGGACTGGCCCCAATCAGAACCGTCCCGAGACCCAGGTGAATCTTCACACCAACCCATGGGACAGACATGCACCCTGCCTGCCTCTGAGGTGGGGGTTGGCATGCCCCGCGGGTGCCCGTCGCCACCACACACCCCAGGCTCCTGCCACCCCGAGCCCCACGGGTGACTTACTTTTGAGCCCTGGCAGGACCGGCAGAGCAGGAGGAAACCACGAGGCAATTTTACTCTCAGCCCAGCTGAGCCGCACGCGCCAGACCCCGCCCTGCCCTGCACCCCACCAGGGCCAAGCTGGGGGTCCCGTGGCAGAGGGGCTGCTGTTGCTCTGCAGGAGGGGCCCAGCCTTGAAGGCTCAGGGCCAGCCCCCAGGCAGGTGCCTGTCCTCGGTCTCTCCCCTCAGCAGTGTCCACACAGTCCTGGCCAAGTGGCCTCGCTGTGCACATTGGCCCGGACCCTGCAGATGGCGTTTCACCCAGAAAAGCTGAGGTATGAGGGGCACAGCCACTGCCCAGCGGCAGGCACCCCAGCAGGATTTGAACCCATAACTGCCCCTTGTTCTCTATGCCCTCGGCCCCTGGACAGCTGCTTGCGGGGGCAGCCGATGTGTGTGCTCTCCTGTCCCCACGGTCCCTTCTGTGCTGGTCAGCCCAGGGCACCACGTCAGGGAGCACTCACCTCCCCGCACCCCAGACCCAGCACTCCAAGCTCAGCCTTCGTAGGGCCCCCGGCAGGAGATGCCCATGGAGCCCCAGTCCAGAGAAGCAGAGATGGAAAGTCACCCCCAGCCCCGGAGCTCAGGGCTGGGTGCTGGGGAGCCCCAGGAACAGCAGGAGGCCGCCAGGAAACCCAGACAGCCTTGCACTGGGAATAGTATTCTTGGCTTCTCTGAACTGCCCTGTTTAGGGTGAACCATGTTCTCCCCCAAATTACCCCCTCTCCCAGTACCTTAAAATGTGACCAAATAGGAAATAGGGTCTTTGCACGTATCCTCAGCAAAGATAAGGTCATTAGGGTGGCCCTAATCCATTGTGACCAGTGTCCTTATAGAAAGGGGAGGGGCTGGGGGAGCTCAGTTGAGGAGCACTTGTCTAGCATGCACGAGGCCCTGGGTTCCATCCCCAGCACCACGGAAAAACAAAGCAAAATAAACAAACAAAAACCCCTCCCATGGTAGCCAAGTGCTGTGCCCCGAGCCTGTCGTCCCATCTACTCAGAAGACTGAGGAAGGAGGATTCCTTGAGTCTAGGAGTTCAAGGCCAGCTGGACAACATAGCAAGACCCTGTCTCAAACAGAAACAAAAACAAGAGTCTTACCACAGTCATGTGACAAGGGGCTGCTGTCATCAGAAATCAGTCCAATGATAACAGTAAACACAATAAATGTAAACGGACTAAACTGTCTAGTTAAAAAAAAAGGACGTTCGGGGACCCGCCTGCCCCCCCCCCTCCCCCCAAAAAAGACAGGGATGTAAAAGGCATGAGGAAGTCTTTAGGGTGACAGATATATTCATATCTTGGCTGTGGTGACAGTGTTATGGCGATAGTATACATATTTTAAAACCAACAAAACTGGGGGGGGGGGAAGGGGAGGGATAGAGGATAGTTAATGGGTTTGATCCCCAGCACGGGAGGGTATAGGAGGGCACTGGAGGGCAACTGGCTGACAACCTCTAATTGTGATGTGTCAACATAGCTAGTCACAACACAAGTAAATAACATATACTTTGAGACAGGGTCTTGCCATGTCACCCAGGCTGGCCTTGAACTCCTGGGCTCGAGTGATCCTCCCGAGCAGCTGGGACCACAGATGTGGACCACCAGGCTCACGAGGAAATGAAAACCACTCGAAGAGATGGATATCACAATTACCTTGACCTGGTCTTCACACATACACACAGGCATGGAAACATCACACTGTACCCCGTAAGTCTGAACACTTATTTCTGTCAAGATTTTGAAAGTATGAAAAAGCCAGGCGTGGTGGTACACACCCATGATCCCAGCAACTTGGGAGGCTGAGGCAAAAGGATCGCCAGCTTGAGGCCAGCCTCAACAACTTAGTGAGACTGTCTCTCAATAAAAAAAAATAAGGCCTGGGGATGTGGCTCAGTGCCCTTGGGTCCAATCCCCAGAACCGAAAAGTAAAAATAAATAAACAAACAACATTGACTCCATCGTTTCTTTTACTTTCTTTGGAAGTGGAAATCGCACTGTTGTTCACGTGTTCTTCTGTCCTAGAAAGTAAAGCTTTCTCGGAAACACTCAGCTTCCCTGTTCAGCAGAACTGAACAGCAGGACAGAGACCATCTGGCCCCATGGCCTGAAATATTTACTACTTGTCCCTTTACTTGGAAAAACGCCCTTCCTGGCGACATTTCAGATCCACCTGAGGAACTGACGTTCATGCTGCACCCAGGACATCCCGTAACTGCTATTGGAAGTGGTCTGTGAGCTTTTTTTTAAGCTCCCTAAGTGACTCTAATGAGTGGCCAAGGATGAAACCCACTTGATTAAATAATTCCTGGGGCCAAGGGACAACAGAAGTAATCAAGTAGTTTCTAATTACGCCACACAACCTCACAGATCAGATCACACATTTCATTCCAAGCTTCCTGGGAGGCAGAGCAAAAAGGGAAAATAGTTTCAAAGCCAAAACATTCAACCATTCTTGTTATCCCAGAGAATAAAGTCTGCTTCCTCCACTTATTTTGGGTGGCTTCTGTGACTCATCTGAGGCAACTGTGGTGGCTGGTGCCTGGCCTGTCGCTTGCCACCCCCCCCCCCCATCTTCTTATCCTCCCCAGCACAGGAATGGCAGGTCCCAACCAACTGACCACTTGGCGTGGAGGGGACCCATGATGAGGCCACGGTGAGCTGCCTGGCCTGGCCCTTGGCCTCCTCCTGGGGGCCACAGCTGCCTCTAGGCCCGGCAGCCTGGGAAACATGAGCGGGAAAGTTGCTGGACTTACTGATGGATGGCTTGGAGGAACTTACGCTGGTGTTTCCGAACCCGGGCTTGGTCTGGCTTCTTCACCAGCCTGGTGTGTTTGTAGATGAGCCACGTCTCCCTGAGAACGTTAGCAGCGGCATTTTTTACCTGGGGTCAGAAAAAGAAGTTTTTCAGAGTAGGTAGAAAACCAGGGAAGGTTCTAGAAACCCCCAGGAACCCCCCAGGACTGGAGTCCCTGGAAGGTCAGGTGGGGCTGTGCGAGTGGGAACCTCAGCGCAATGCATCCGCCCGTTTTGATATCGCCTTGACATTTTTCATACGAGGGGTTGAACCCAGGGCCCTCTACCAGGGAGACACGTCCCCAGCTCTTTTTCATTTATATTTTGAAACAGGGTCTCACTACAGTGACCAGCAATCCTCCTGCCTCAGCCTCTCGAGTAGCTGGAATTTCGGGGCGTGCGCCACCATGCCTGGCTGAGGCCGCCCTCATTCTCTGTAGGGGGACACTGAGGCACAGAAGGTCAATCTGCAACCTGGCCAGGTCAGAGAGCACGCACATGGCACCAGAGGCGGGGTCCCAGGATCCGTGCTTCCCTGTCTGGCCTGGCTGGGCACGAGGGTGGCTCCCCAGGCCGCCGCCTGGGTCTGTGCACAGCGTGTAATCGTGCACACTGCGGGCAGGGCTCGCAGTCTGACCCAGGCAGGGCGGTGACTCAAGGGTGCCTAGGCGCGCCCGCTGGTGCGGGGAAAGGCGAGCAGGAAAGGAGGCCGTGTCCAGGGCTGGGGTCCTCACCCGCTTGGTGAGCTGAGTGTCCATCATGAAATTATGCACGTGCTTTTCAGCCTTAGTGAGCTCCAGCTTCCGGGCCACCACGGCCACCACGAGCGCTGTGCAGCCAGCCCCCTGCAGGCAGAGCGAGGGGCACATCAGCCTCCAGCCCCAAGGTCGCCTCCTCCTCAGGAGGCCTGCCCTGTTCCACCCCTGCTGGACAGCGCCAAACCCGAGAGGGCGGTAGATTCCCCTCTGCGAGCCCAGGCGACCTCCGGAACCCACAAAGAGCTCCTTCAGTCCCCAGCCACGCATTCTTCTCCCCTCCAGGCAGAGGGGGACTGAGATTCAGAGGAGAAAGGAGCAAGAAACAGACCTGCAGGCCACGCCCACAGCCACGCCCACGGCGGCAGGAGGATTTGGAAGATTTTGTTCAAGGCTTCGGGGTCTTGGACAGGAGATGGGCCGACATACACAGGGCCACCAAACAGGGTCAGAAGGTCAGGCTGGGGCTCAGGGCATTTGCGGGAGGGGAAAGGCAGCGGGGGGCCCAGAAAGAATGGGAGCTCCCCTGTGGCGGTTGGGGACTTGCTTGTGGCCCCCCTACTTGCTCAGGGCAGCCAGGGAGACAGGGAAGGGCAAGGCCAAGGTGGGAGGGAGACAGAGGAGAGTGACACAGGAGTAGAGGAATGGGGGGGCGAGTTCTGCCACCGAGAAGCAGGGGACAGGGAACCTCAGACACCCAGGGGTGTCGCAGGCGCAGGGAGGCAGGTGGTGGGGGGGGGGCTGAGGCGGCAGAAGGCACCCATGACTGAGCCACCAGCTGCTTCCTTCTGCCACTGCCCAGTCACAGGCTGGGAGCAGGGAAAGGACCCTGAGGGTGGGGGCGAGGACGGCTGAACGTTTCTCTGGGGATAGAAGGAAAAACATTTATGGGAAGGAGCGGGGAAGGGCCAGGACATTATCAAAAAAGTCCTGGATGGGTTTGAATACCAACATGCCAAGCCTGGGTGGGTGGGCAAAAGGGGAAGCAGGGGCTTCCCACCTGGGCCAGAATGAGGGTCTAGAGAGGATGCAGAGGCCGCTTCTCAGGAAAATCTCTGTCAACAGGGAAAAAGCAATTTGCTGGGAAACTCTGGAACACTATGCAGCCAAGAAAAAGGACAACTGAGGGATCCATGTAGAAGCACATGGGCGCTTCACAGATACAGTCTAGACATGATGTTGGCCAATCAGTGTCAGCTTCCAGAAGGCCAGGCTGGGGTGCCCTGAAGTTTAAGAACAAGAATCTCATAGATGGTGCTGGAAATTGGAGTCTGTGAGGCAGCGAGCACAAGGAGATGCGCTTGGGTAAAGATGGAAGGGGAGAGGGTTGATAGAAGAGGGAGAAAAAGACCTGGCTGAAACGTCCAGGTGTGGCTTCATGTGACCCCTAAGGCTGAATGGAAAGGGCGGAGGGCCCTGGGTTCTGTGCCCACCACCGAAATCCAAAAAGTCCACCATATAGACCTGAGTGACCAGTTCCATGTGCACTGGGGCAAGGGCAGGGAGCAGGCTGCAGGGTAGACACAGAACTTTCTGGAAGGAGCTACGCTGACAGCCACGCCCATTAAGGGAACGTGGCTTCTCCACTTCATCCTGGCCCCCCTGGGTTCGAAGTCCTCCTGCACCAGCTGCCTGGGGAGGGGAGGGGGCACGGTCTCCCGCTTTCCCCCTGGACTCCAGGATGAAGTGCAGCGTCCACACCGCGTCCCTCCCTCCGCAGAAGTGCAGCCAGTTTGGGGGGGGGGGCGAGTCCCCTCGCAGCAGAAGCGAGGCCTGGGCTCCCCGCGGGCGGCCAGCAGGGGGTGAGAGGATGGGGAGAGCGGGAGGGAAGGGAACAGAGCGAGGGGGGCGGCGGCGGGGGCGGGAGGAAGGAAGAGCGCTTGTGGAGGAGATGAAAGAAACTTGGCGAAAAAGAAGGTTCCAGAAGGAGGAGATGATAGAAAGGAAACGGATGATGGAATCAGGGAAAAGAGGACGCCCACGCCCACGAAGGCGGATTGAGAAGCCCAGGAGAGCGGGAGGCTGCTGGCCCGAGTCCACAGACGTGCCGCAGTGGGGAAGCCACACAGGGTCCTGGGCTTCTGGAAGCCAGCCAAGGATGGGGGCAGGGCGGGGCTGTGACCTCCAGACACTGACGGGCTGCCCAGGGCACTCATGGTTCCAAAGCATAAATGAGCCTAGTTTTTGTAGCAAGAGGAGAAAGTGGCACAGAACAAGCTGGGAAACCAAGGCCCCGAACCAGGGCTATGAATAAACTGGGCTACAGAGAATAAGGGGGCAAAGATGATACTCCGCTCAGAGTGGACCTCAGCTCCTGGAGGGAGCTACTCAGCCAGAGCTGGAAGAGCCCACTGAGAGACCCCAAGGCCTGAGGGTGCAGATGTCACACGACAGGAGAGGGAAGAAGCAGGGGAGGAAGGGTGGGCTGGCAGGACCTCAGGGCTCTGGAGGGGGGGCTCTGGGCAGGACAGAGGCAAGGGCGGGGCTGAAGTGGGGTGTCTCCGGCCCTTACCATGATGCCGGTGAGCAGGCACACGCCCTTCCCGCAGTAGGTGTGGGGCACCATGTCACCATAGCCAATGGAGAGGAAGGTGATGGAGATGAGCCACATGGCCCCCAGGAAGTTGCTGGTCACTTCTTGCTTGTCGTGGTACCTGGGGAGCAGGGGTGGGGCTGCCATCAGTTCACGGTGATGTCTCGGCCCGTCACACCCCTGGGGCAGGGCTGGGACTGAGGGCACCTGCCCACCTTGCCCACCGGCTGCACCAGGCCCTGACCTCGGCCACAGGGAGTGGGTCACTCCGGGGCGTGGTTCTGCTGGGGGCAGGAGGCAAGGGCGCCCACAGCCTCCCTCCCTCCCTCTCTCCCAACCCTCCCCCTTGCCGGACACCCAAGCTGCTGCTCCCCAGCCCTGGTGACAGGACAAAGAAGGGCCCAGGTGAGGGTGCACCTACACACGTGCACACAATCCCTCTCCCAACAGACACACACACGGGGACACAGGTGGCTGAGGGTGCCAGAAGCAGCAAGGAGTGAAGGCAAGGATTTAGGTGAGACACCAGGAAGAACTTCCTCAGCCGGCGAGGCCCCGGAGAAGGAGAACTATTGGACAGGCCAGCGGATGGAGCCCAGGACTTAGGAGAAGGAAAGCCAATACGCAGGGGAGGCACCAAGGCCCAAACCCGGGGTCTTGGGTTTGAGAAGAAGGGGGCAGGTCACTTGGCACAGGGGACAGGCCTGGGGCTATAGTCCGGTATCCAGGGGAACAATCCCCAAGAACTTAGAAAGGACACAACTTTGTCCCAGTCTCAGCCAGGACTGGGGCCCCAGCCACAGGGGTTCAGAGGCACATCTGTGGCCGACTCAGGGTAGGGGCTGGAGGTTGGTTCTCTGGGTCTGGAGCAGCTGGAGGCCTGTCTGCTATCCTTCACCTCCCGGACAACTCTGGATGTCCAGTTCCAACCGACAAGACTGCTGTCAGGGAGTCAGGGGCCCTTCCGCGCTGACCTCGGCCTTCCCAGCCTCCAGAAGCCGAGGCCAGCCTGTGGAGACCACCCGGGGGCAATTAAAGTCAGCAGCCGGCTGGGGAGACGGGAGGTGGGGACCCCTAGGCCGGCAGGGCACAGGGAGGTTTGGAAGGAGCGGTTGTGCTGGACACAGCCTGGGGACAGGGGTCTGGGGGAGGGAAGGAGGTGGAGGCCTCCCGAAGGGGAGCTGGGCGGATGGAGCCCCCTGATCAGCTGTTTGGGGGTCTCCAACCGCCGAGGCTTGGATGCTTTTCAAGGCCCCTCCAGTCTGGGCTTAGGCTGCTCACGAGGTGGGGGATCAGAGACAGAACCCCATCTTACACAGAGGCATGAGTCCCAAACTGCCCCAGCCTCAATGGGGGTGAGGGGGGACCACCAGCACCGCGGCCCCAGGAGCCAGGAGGGTGGGGGCGGAGGCAGGTGAGGCCACGCCCACTGGAGCATGAGGCCACGCCCACTGGAGCATGGGGGGCTGCTGCCGAGAACCCCAGGGGCAGAGGCGAGGAGCATGCAGGAGGCGGGGTGGGGCCAGCAGCGGGGGCAAGCATCATTGCTGGGCTCAGAATTTAGGATTGGCTGCCCTTGGCCCTGCCCCGTCCCCACCTCACCTGGGGGAGAGGCCTGCAGGGAATCAACTTGGACCTCAGGGACACCTGACCATGGGCCACCCCAGACCTACTCCTGACTCACTCCTGTCCTGATGGGTGGGGATGGGCTCCGGGACTGGCACCGGCACATCAGGGGTCCAAGAAGACCCCTGCAATGACTCCCAGATGGCAGACTTGATCCCCAGAGGAGCTGGCCCCGGCCACTGTGAACTAGCCATCGGGTCTGAGAGGGGCTGCAGGAGGGGTAGGGCGAGCCCCTCTTGGACAAGGAAGCCCAGGACAAGTCCTGTTGCCCTCAGAGACTCAGTTTCTTCATCTGTAAGTTGGGCTGATGGTCTGCCGCCATCCAGGGCTGTCCAGACCCCACAGAAGCCCTGAAGGCCGGGTGACCCCAACCCACTAAGCACTCAGGAGGGGGCTTCAGAGCCGTCCAAACAGGACGCTTCTCCAAGCGCCTTCCTCAGGCGAGACAAGGACCCAGGCTCAGAGAAGATGGCCTCCAGCCAGCGGGGGGTGCCCCCAGCTCCCCTGGGCAGCGCTGGCAGCCCCGCTGGCCCTCACTCGGTTGTCGGCAGCTAATCTTAAATTCCCAGCAGCGGGGCCGCGAGGGGGCTGCAGCTCTGAGCGCGCTGAGCTCGGCCAAGGGCGGGACTCACATGTTCTCCCTACAGTCCGGCAGGGCGGGCAGAGGGAGAAGGAAAGCTGGTTACCGTGGGGGCAGGGGAACAGGGGCGTGGGGTGTCCCTGTCCCGCTGCGTCCTGCTGCCTCTGCCACCCTGGCCAGAGGTCCCGGAGGAGCACGGGAGGCCTGCGGAGGGGAGGTGGGGAGAGCGGGAGCCCCGCCCACGTTGGGGGAGGAGCCAAGGGTGGCCCAGGACACCCCCTCCCCACAGCTGGGATGAAGGTCCTCAGGAATGAGCATTGAGACCACAAATGGGGCCAGGGGGCACCACAGGGCTCTGGGGAAGGGTGATGAGTGGAAGCCAAGGTCACGGGAGCCGTGGATGGGGGTGGGACCGAGGCCCGGGTCCCCAGCCCTCCCGCTCGGCCTGGCGGCCTGGGGCGCACCTCTCACACACGCGCACGGTCCAGGCCGCGATGATCCAGGAGGAGATGCTGAAGACGAGCAGCACGGTGCCCGGGCAGATGGTCATGAGCGTCTTCATGACGAAGCGCGTGTTGAAGGTGATCTTGTTGAGCGCCCCGATGCTGCGGCTCGAGGCGTCCGTGAAGATCTTGCTGTGCAGCAGCATCACGCGGCCCAGCAGGTAGAGGCGGAGGAACATCGGGATGGACAGCAGCACGTCCACGTCGGCCTCGGCCACCGACGGCGCGTACGTGAAGGCCAGCCGCGCCGTCCACGTGAAGCGGTAGTGGCCGGGCACCGGGTGGATGGCGCACACGGCGAGCTCCAGCGAGATGAGGAAGACGCGCTCGCAGGTCATGGCGATGCGCCAGTCATCCGCGCCGTTGTCCACCATGAACAGCTGCCGAGAGCGGACGCAAGGAGGACGGTGGGTCCCGGACTCGCACCCAGGTCCCACCCCCAAGAGCGCCCTTGCCGGGAAACCCAACCCAGCCTCAGGTTCCCAAGAAAAGTCAGAAGCGTGGCCTCAGAGGAGGCTCCCTAGTTCTCAGCTCTGGCCAGATTCAAACTGAACATCACATGGGCCGGGCACGTCTGCCACCCCAGAGGCTCGGGAGGCTGAGAAAGGAGGATCGCAAGTTCAAAGCCAACCTCAGCAAAAGTGAGGCACTAAGCAACTCAGCGAGACCCTGTCTCTAAATACAAAATAAAAAGGGCTGGGGAGGCGGCTCAGTGGTTAAGCGCCCTGGTTCAATCCCTGGTTCCAAAACAGAACAAGATCAAAAACACACAAAGACCTACGCTAACAAGACCGGTGTGTGGACAGGAGAGGAGGAGACCAGGGATGACAGTGAACACATGAGAAACCACACGAGGACATGGCGACAGAACGGCCACTTATAAGGCAAGAAGAGCGGGCCCAGGGACCCACCCCCTGCTGGCCCCTTGATCTTGAACTCGTGGCCTCCAGAACTGCGAGAAGACCCATCTGTGTAGTTTAGGCCATTCCACTTGTGGTATTTTACTTATAGCAGCCGCACCGAACTCACGCAGATTTTGATTAACTTATTAATATTGTGAGGTTCGATTTATATGAAACGTCCAGAGGGGCGGATCCAGAGACAGAGAGCATGGCTGCCAGGGGCCAGGGAGGGGGTGGGGAGTGACTGCTGATGGGGATGGGGTCTCCTTCTGGGATTTTGGAAATGTTCTAGAACTAGATAGAAGTAACGTTTACATAACATTGCAAATGCCCCTGAACTGTTCCTCTTTAGAATGGTTACAGTCATATTATATGAATTTTACCTTAGTAAAAAATATCTAGTGGGATGCAGTGGTTCCCACCTACAATCCTAGCTACTGGGGAGGCTGAGGCAGGAGGATCACAAGTTTGAGACCAGCCTCAGCAACTTAGCAAGGCCTTAAGCAACTTAGTGAGACCCTGTCTCAAAATAAAAATATAAACAGGGCTGGGGATGTGGCTCAGTGGTACACTACATGCCTAGCATACACAGGACACTGGATTCAATTCCCAACAGTGCCAAAAATAATAATAATAAAATTAAATTAATAAAATCAAACAGGAGCAAGTCAGGGGTGTGGCTCAGTGGAAGAGTACTTCCCTGGCACACGTGAAGCCCTGGGTTCCATCCACAACACAAGAAAGACAGTCAGAAAGATAGACAGACTGATGACCTTAGAAAGAGAGGAAATTGGAGACTGGGGGTGTGGCTCAGTGGTAGGGCGCTAGGCCCTGGGTTTGATTCCCCAGTACTGCCCAGAGGGAGGGGGCAGTTAGACAGACGCGCACAGAGAAAATGGCATGTGAGCTTCCAGACCAGTGACGCATCCACAAGCCAAGAGTACCGAGACTGCAGGGGCACCAGAAACCAGGAAGGAGGCCTGGAGTGGCCCCCACAGACCTGAGGAGGAGCCAGCCCTGCTGAGGCCTTGGTCTTGAACCTTCAGCCTCCAGGACAGGCAGAGGGTGCATCTGTGTTGAGGGCACTCCGTGTGGGTCTCTGCACCGGCTCCCTGGCTCATCAATACAGAGGTGCACCCTTTCTATTGTACAAAGGCTCTATGTTTCATTTTGGTTATCCATCCATTCACCGAGGGACCTTGGTGTGTGTGTGTGGGGGGTGCGTGTGGGGAGTGGTACTAGGGATTGAACTCAGGGGCACTTGACCACTGAGTCCCATCTCCAGCCCTATTTTGTATTTTGTTTATTTAGAGACAGGGTCTCACTGAGTTGCTTAGGGTCTTGCTAGGTTGCTGAGGCTGGCTTTGAACTCCTGATCCTCCTGCCTCGGCCTCCTGAGCCGCTGGGATTTCATTAAGGGAAATTCGTACATGGTTTCTACTTTCTGTCTGTTGTGAAAGATGGTCTTATAAACATTTGTGTGGATGTTGATTTTTGTTTCTCTTGGGGGGTGAACCTAGGAGGGGGACTGTTAGGGGCCAGGGTAACCTCCTGGTTAGCTAGAATCCGCCCTCCACACCTGAGTTCCATATCGCACAGTCAGCCACCCACGGACTGAAAATATTTTGAAAAAAAAAATCCCATCTGTACTCTTTTTCTTGTCACGATTCCCTAAACAACACAGCGCATGCACGTTTATGTTGTGTTAGGTGTTCTCGGCCATCTAGAGATGATTTAGAGTCCAAAGGAGGTCATCTGCAGGAACTTGAGCGTCCTGGGGTTTGGGTATCTGTGGGGGTCCTGGCACCAATCCTGCAGGGATCCCCAGGGCTGGCTGTATTGGAGGAACTGACAGACACCTGTCCCCAACAGCCAGCCCCCAGAGACACGTGCACATGGCACAGATGGAGATTTCCCACTCGCCTGTTCTGCCAGCCTGAGGCCCCTGGAGCTCAGGGGTCTGAGGCGAGGGCAGGAGCCCAGGCCGGTGCTGCTCACCGGGCGCCGAGGGGCCTGAGCTGGCTCCACAGCAGGAGGCCAGCGCCAGGCCCAGCGACTCTTCCTATTGGGAAGGACATCGGGTGCCTCCCAGTAGAAACAGGGCCTGCTTCCGGGGCTGCGAAAGCCACCAGGAAGCCACCAGGGCCATGAAGCCCACTGTGTCCCAGCCCCCTGGCTCTGCCCTCCTTCACCTCCCCACCTGTTCCCGTCTGGAGAGGAGCCACAAAAGTCAACAGGCAGACGCGCTGCAGGGAGGGGGTGACGACGCGGTGACTCTCCACCGAGAACTTTGGTTTTTGTCAAGGAGACTATTTGTCCTGTGTGTCCTGGGGAGCGGGGGCCCCAGCTGGGCTGACCGGGGGACTCTGGGGCCCAGGGTGAGGAGGCACTGACCTGGATCTCCCGGGCGTGGTAGAGGACCACGAGGCCCAGCAGGATGGCGGTGGACAGGCTGATGAGGCATTTCAGGGCGAACGAATAGAGCGAGTCCTGGGGAGAGGGAGAGGGCGCTGGGGGGGCTCCCAAGCACCACCCCACCAGGCCCCTGGGGACAGCAGCTGGCCAGAGGGGGCTCCTCCCCATGGCCGCCCCGGTGCCCGCTGAGCCTCCATCTCCTGAGCTGCCTGTCCCGGCCTGGTCTCACTTGGGTCCTGTGTTTATAAGGCCTGGTCCCTTATGGCCCCGGGATGTCGCGAGGCCTGCTGGGCCATGGACTGGCACCTCCGTCTGCAGGCCTGGCTCCCTCCAGCCCCCGTCTCCGGGCAGACAAGCCCTGGTTTCTCTCTGTCCTCACACCCGCTTGGTGACACAGAGGACTCACAGAGCCAGGCTGGTGACACACCGACCACTCTAGACGGGGAGGGAGAGCGTGGCCTGAGCCTAGCCCAGCCTTCCCTGGGGTCCCCCTCCCCAGCTCACCCGGGGAGCAGCAGAGGGAGGGGCTGGAGTGGCACAGGGAGCCCCAGGGTCCCCTGCATTCCCCGCCCACCTCCCTGGGGGCCCTGAGGTGCCTGGGCGGGGGCTGTGCCTACCTTGGTGTACACCCCCCAGGACAGCTCGGTCTCCGTCACCATGACGACGATGCCAAACATGCCGAAGATGAGGGCGTAGTCACTGAGCCGTTTCCGCTTCTCAAAGAGGGCCCTGCGGTGGCCCAGGCGGTGGCCCACAGTCGGGGTCTTCCCAGGGCCCCTCCGCCTGCCTGCTTCGTCCTCCTCCTCCTCCTCCTCCTCCTCCTCCTGGTCCTGGGGCTGCCCCCGGGGGCTGCCTGGCGAGAGCCTGGACGGCTCGCTCTTGGCCACCACCACCTGGAGGCCAGGGCTGGGCGGGGGGTGCAGGGGGCGGCCTGCTTCAGGGTCCAGAGGGTCTCGGCCCAGAACACCTGGCCCGCTGCCCAGCGGCCGCCCCACGCTACCATTGTGGCTGTGGCCGTTCATGACCACCTGGCTGCCGGGGCTGGACTCCCTGCAGGCCACCCGGAGCCCGGCATGGCTCAGTGGCTGGGCTCCTGCGCTGACCTGCGGAGAGCAGAGGGACTTAGTCACAGGAAGGCCTTGGGGACTGACCAGAAGAGCAGGGATCAGCACCACCGTTCCAGAACATTCGAAGGAAGGCACAGGCCACCTCGGGAGGCTCAGAATGCCAACATGTGGGTCACCATCCAGAAACATCAAGTCAGCCTGTGGCCTCTCGGCTTGGACACCCCCACCCCGCCCAGCGCCGTCATTTGCTAAACCAAACTCCTTACTGCGGCCAAGAGGCCCTCTGTGCTCAGCCTTCTGCCCACCCCACCCCAGGCTCACTCCCTCCCAGCCACGCCGGCCTCCGCATGACCCCAGCAAGTCCTGCTCTGAGCCTTTGCAGGGGCTGTGCCCTCTGCCCGGGACACCAAACAGCAGACCCTTGCCTGCTGACTGTCTCCGTCCCCAAGGACGCAGCTGGCACCCAGTGAACACCCGCTGGACGCTGCGAGCTGGCGCTGCCATCAGGGGTGCCTGGGAGCAGAGACGCAGCATATGGGGAGGACGTGGTTCTGATCCAGGTCAGCCCCCCAGACTTCTAGATGGAGACTCTGGCTCCTCGCCCCAGACTTTCCAAAGGCCTGCGTGTGTTTACGCAGCTCAGGTGAGGCCTGGGCCACATCAGAGACCAAGGCTGTGGCCACAGAGACCCCGAAGCTCCCTCTGCCTCGGCAGGTTCCAGGACCAACCCTCCCTGCCAGCCCGCTGTCTCACACCCTCACAGGCACACCCTGCGGCCACCTGGCCAGGGTTTATTGAGCATCTACTATGTGCCGTGCCTCAATCTTCATGCAGACGTCTGCCCTCACCCTCACATATACCCCAGAAGGGGATCCTGGGCTTGGCCAGTCTTAGGGATGGAGACCCCGAGGCACAGCACTGTGAAGGGACAGATTCTGCCCTCGGCTGCCTGGTGGGATTCAGGGGACACAGGCTGGAGCTCCTCTAGATGCCAGGCCTGGGTCAGGGAGGTGGGCAACAGCTGTGCCTATAGGCAGGACAGTCCCCACTCCCACTGGGGTGGCCGATATGGAGACCATCAACTCAGGACACACCAAGATGAGCCCGACTGTAGGGGGAGACAGGGCGGCCTTGCCCACCACCCACCACAGTCCACGCGTGCCCTCGTCCAGCAGCCTCCACAGGGGTCTGTCCCCTCCACCAGGTATCTCCAGATGCTGGTGCCATCCCCTCGTGGCCAGCCAACCTCGTAAAGCCTGTCCCCATCCCTGCCTCCGCCCACACTTGGCCGGGCACGCTCAGCTCAGCGGCAGGACTCAGCAGCCCCTCCCGGCCCTGGTTTCTTTGTCAACACAAACTCTGGGACCCCCGCTCTCTACGCTGAGGCCACCACCTTCCAGGTGGGCAGGAGCTCATCCTGGCCCTACGTCCTGCCTTCACCCGAGGGCAGGGGGCAAAGAGACCCCAGGTGCCCTTCCACGTCCCCTGAAGGTGCAGAAGGTCTCCACCTGGGCTGGGGAGCACAGGCAGGCAGGAGAGGCGGGCGGCCTGGCAGACAGGACCCAGAGGGGGCGGGGGCCTGCAGAGGGCCGCTGCAAACGACCTTCCAAACGCACCGATGAAGAGGCAATTTGGGATGTGACTCAGCCACCCGACGCCTGGGCCAAGTTCAGCGGTGTATCTGCCATGTTCCTCCTCGCCTGGCAGCCGCGTCCTAAGGTGCCCTGGGCAGGGAGGGGGCAGCGGGGGGCGGGGAGGAGGGGAAATATGACAGGTGGCTTCTGAGAAGGCAGAGGGTAGAGGGCTTTCCCTGGGCCCCTTCTGTGGACAAGTGCCAGGGCTCTTACTGTGTTTCAAGCCCTTGATCAGAAAGATCACATTTCATCCCTACTGCCACCCAACAGGGCAGGTGACATGCCTGTTCCCATTCTACAGATGAGGTAAAAAGCTCAGAGAGGTTGAGCACACTGCCCAAGGTCACACAGCCAGGAAGGGCAGGCACCAGGTTGGTGCCATCCAGAGGTGTCAGGATCTGTCACAGGAAGAGGGAATCAGCCTGGCCTTGCCCCAGAGAGGCCACAAGCTGGGAGACAACGGGTGGTGAGTTCCGGATCCCTCCCCCGGCCTCAGATGAAGAGAAGGACAGAGTGTCTTTTCTGAGAATCCCCCTGGAAAAGGGGCAGCCCATTTCTAAAGGCTGGGAAGGACCAGAGGCGCTGGGGACGAGGCCTCACTCTTGCAGGTACTCTTCCCCCTCCCCCGGGGGTGCCTGGACACCACAGTCCTAGAAACTCCTCAAAGCACCATCCAAGGCTTGGAACTATGAAAGGTGTTTCATCCCTTTGTTTTTATTTCTGTGGTGCTGGGGGTTGAGCCAGGGGCGCTCTAGCACTGGGTACAGCCCCAACCCTGCTTTATTTTTAATTATTATCTTTCTACACAATTCCTTTATTTTATTTTCTATTTATTTTTATGTGGTGCTGAAGATTGAACACAGGGCCTCGAATGTGCTAGGCGAGGGTGCTACCACTGAGCCACAACCCTAGCCCCCCTTTTTTTTAAGTTTTTGAGACAGGGTTTTGCTAAGTTGCGCAGGCTGGCCTCAAACCTGTGATCCTCCTGCTTCAGCCTCCAAAGTCTCTGGGATCAGAGGCATGGCTGCTGCACCCAGCAGGAGGGTGTGTTTCAAGTTCAAGGCCCCAGTTTCACCACTGAGGATCCCCATAAGGTAGGAGCACCCTGTGGACTGCACTTGGATTTGAGCACCCTGGGCATTTAAGAATTGTTGAATGTGTCTGGTCACAAGACCCCTGCTCCCTGAAGGCTCGGGCCCAAGAGACACACAGACTTTTGGGAAGCTGGGGGGGCGGAGGGCCCAGGAGGGCTCTTGAGAAAAGCAGGGAGCAGAGGAGCTGGCCCACCTAAAGTCATGAGGGAAGAAAGACAAAGCCAGCAGCCCCCAGAGGCCTTTTTACAAATGATGGGCTGGTTGAAGCAGCTGCCCAGGAGAACCCTCAGGTGTCCCTACTAAGGGGCAAAGTCACTGCCTCTCTGGAACACCTCTTCTTTAAGGCACCCCAATAGTACTCATCCTGACACCCTGGTCTCGCAAGGGAGTAAGAGACACCTCTTCTCATTCTTAAGAACTGGATCAGGAGGTGTCCCCTGCTCATGCGCCAGTCCTTAGAGCTGGGCCCCCACCCCCACCCCAGTGTTTCCAAAGAGCCAGAGCCACACACGGCAGAAACTTCCAGGACGCGCAGGCCTGTTTTGAGTCCCAGCCAGGGCAGCCCCAAGGCTGCGTGTCCCTGTGGAGGGTGAGGAAGGACCCTGGGGACCCCCTCAGCCCTCTCAGGACCCTAACTCTGCAAGGTGGGCAGGCTCCACTCGTCCTCCTGCCCTGGGGCACAGGCAGCTCGGAGCTGAGCTGGATGCTGGCTGCCAGCCTGGTCCCCATCACCACCACCAGGAACCTGCCTGCCAGCCCGCAGGGGCCACTCAGCCTGCCCTGACCTCCTCCAGGCGGCCACCCTCACTCACTGCCCTCCTCTCTGATCCTCTCCATCAGCGTCTTCGCTGGGCCCCCAGCTCTGACATTCACATCTGCTGCCACACCTTCCAGGACAGCAGGGGCAGTGCCCTGGGCTGGGTACGGGGACCTGTGCGTCCAGGGAGAACTGGGAGTCTGGGGCTCGAGGACCCTTTGCGAAGCATCCCAACCCTTGGCCCGAGGGCTCAGCCGTGGTGAGGGGATCCTCCTTCCCGTCCCCAAATCATCCCGGCTCCCTGCCAGCCCTGCAAGCTCCCCACCTCCAACGTGTACCGGGCGAGTTCAGAGACTCGCTGCCCTGCGCCCCGCGCCCCGCCGGGCTCCCCAGGACCGGGTCCAGCTCCCACTCCCTCGGCGGAGCACGCTCGTCCCCTCCTCCGCGCGCCCCCTGGCCTCCAGACCCCGCGAGACCCTCCCTCCTGGCCTCTACCCCCAACCCTGTCCCCTCTGGGACCTGGCTCCCTCGCTGGGTACCCGGGGCTGCGCATCGTGGACCCTCCCGCCGCCCCTACGGTCCCACCGTGTACCTGAGGACGACGGTGGGTGGAGGAGGCTGGCGGGGAGAGGGTCCCGCGCGGCCGTGGACCCCCCGGCAGAGGCCGGGGCCGGGGTCGCGGCCGGGACGGGCAGCAGCGAGCGGGCGCTGGGCCCCGGGGCGGCGGGGCCGGGGGCGGCAGCGGCCGGCGCATCCCCCGCCGCCCAGTCTACGGGCCCGGCCGGGGGGCGAAGGCCCGCCCCAGCCCGGAGAGGAGGGGGCGGTGCGACGCGAGCGGCGCCGCCGATTGGCCGATCCCGGCTGGCCCCGCCCCCGACGACCCCGCTAGCCCCGCCCATATTTAAAGATCCCACATTTCGAGGCGCCCGTTCTCCTCTCAGCTCCTGGTCAAGTTCGCACTCTTGCCCCGCGTCACGGAAGGGGCCTTGGCAGAACCACAAGCCCCGCTTGCCACAGCCTTGGAACCTCCTAGCCACCCGTTCCCCAAAATGGGTCCCCTGACTTCAGTGGCCCCTCCAACCTTGGCGTGCCTGGGGGCCCTCCGCACGGCTCCACCACTGGGTGGACAAGTTTGCAGGGACGCCCGCTCCCCAAACGACCTCCACAGGGGTCGGCTCTGCGTAGAGGAGCAGAGGCGGGGGCAGGATGTGGGCAAGTAGGGGGTGCCGAGAAGCCTGCTGCAGCGGGGGGCTCCGGGGTGTCTGCGGTGGGGAGCGGGTAACCGGCTGGAGGACACCTTCTCTGAGAGGGGAGATGCCTGCTCACCTCGGGCTCTCCACCCCGAGACCCCAACACCCATGCCCAGATGGCAGGCGCAGGAGCCCCACCGAGCTGGGATCACCAAGGTGGGGGTCCCCCAAACAGTGTCCCTTCCCCAGGCATTTAGGTCGGTGTTCATTCAACCTTAACGGGGCTCGGGGGACGGAGGTGAGGAACGCTCGGCCTCACTGCCCTGGTCCCCCTGGTCCCTGGCTGTAGGGATGG